CCATCAGTGGCTATTAGCCCCAAGGTATAGATAGGGACTCTGGGGCAAGTGATGCTCTGTCTTCTTGGTGCTTGGGGGGGTCAACAGTGGGAGGGCTTCTAATGTCCTGGCCCCACTGGTGGACCTCCTGTTGGCACATGGTATTTTTGGCCACTGTGTGACAGAGTGTTGGACTGGATGGGCCTCGGCTTGATCCAACATTGGCGTCTCTTATGTTCTTATGTTCTAACTAAATACATGCGTACAGGAGTCATTTCAAGCAGAAACGCACAGGAACGGCGTTCCGGGATTAACAAGCTCAGCCCGGCCCGGCCCCCCGACTTCCTGCTAAGGCTCCCAGCCTTCAAGCATTTGTTTCTGTCAGTAAAATGTAGGGGGGGGGGGGAGCCGTCAGGCCTGACAGCAGCCACCATGCAACTTGCATAACTCATGCAGGCCCAGCTGCTTGCTACTGCTCAACAGCTGCTGCCCCATGAAGTGTTGTGTAGTGGTTAGTGTTCCAGACAAGGATTTGGGAGACCCAGGTTTGAATCTAAGTTGGGAAATACCTGGAGATTTTTGGGGTGGAGCCTGAGTGGTGGGTGCTGCCTTCTGACTCTGACTGATGTCAGGGGGTGTGACATACGCTAATGAGTTATGCTAAGGAGCTCCTGCACCTTTTTTTCTACGAAATGACCCTTGCATACATAAATAAAAGGTGTGGAGATCGGCAGCTGAAGCTTTTCATGGCTTGAAGTTAAGTAACATTACCTGATAATTCTTGGTCATGGCACCAAAACTTTGGACGTCTCTTCCCAGGTAGACTGTTCTGTCTCCCTTTATCAGTGTCTTTCACCAGCAGGTGGGGACTTTTTTGTTGCATCCAGCACAGTGGTTACTGGCCCTCGTTCTCGTGTCATTTGCTTATATATTTTTAATTAACTATTAATTTTTTAAAATTATTTTAAGTGTTTTTTTTTTCTTTTTTAAATTTAATAAGAAAAATGCAGATCATAACGTTAAGTGTATTTTTAATTGCCCGGGGGCTAGAATGCTTTTTATGTTTACCGCCTTGTGGACCCCGATCAGGTGGAAAGGAAGCATAAGGTTTATAAGGTTTATAAGATTACGCATGGGAAAGAGCAGGTAGAGAAAGAGGTACTTTTCTCCCTTTCTCACAATACAAGAACTCGTGGGCACGCCATGAAATTGCTGAGCGGTCGGGTTAGAACGGATAAAAGGAAGTACTTCTTCACCCAAAGAGTGATTAACACTTGGAATTCACTGCCACAGGAAGTGGTGGCGGCTACAAGCATGGACGGCTTCAAAAGGGAATTAGATAAGCATATGGAGCAGAGGTCCATCAGTGGCTATCAGCCACAAGGTATAGATAGGGGCTCTGGGGCAAGTGATGCTCTGTCTTCTTGGAGCTTGGGGGGGTCAACAGTGGGAGGGCTTCTAATGTCCTGGCCCCACTGCTGGACCTCCTGATGGCACCTGGTATTTTTGGCCACTGTGTGACAGAGGGTTGGACTGGATGGGCCATTGGCCTGATCCAACATTGGCGTCTCTTATGTTCTTATGTTAAATGTTTTAAATTAATCAATAAATGGCTAGTTTAAAGTCGGCAACCCTGCTGGTGGGGGCGAGGGGCTTGTAGCGTTGCCAGCTCCACATTTGGGAACTCCTGGAGATTCGGGGGTGGAGCCTGGGGAGGACAGGGACCTCAGTGGGGTACAATTTATTTATTTATTTATTCAATTTATATCTCACCCTCCCCGCAAGAGCAGGCTCAGGGCAGCTTACAGAAGATAAAACATAAACAATTATAACATAGATAAAACCATATAAAAACAATCCAATGTCATAAAGTTCTAGCTAGATGTAAACTAAATACTTAGAGATGGCAGCGGCATCAGAGGTCATTTCGGGGGGATTGCGGGGGATCGCAGTTCCCCCGGGTGAGGTGCGGGGGCGGGGCACACGATGAAGCCCCGCCCCCTGCTTCCGGCCGCCCCGCTTCCGGCCCTCATTCAGCCAGGAGGAGGCAGGAGAAGAGGGAGGGTAAGTTGCTTCCTCCCCCCCTCTCCCCACCCCTGCCTGAGGTTTATAAAATTATGCATGGGATAGAGCAGGTAGAGAAAGAGGTACCTTTCTCTCTTTCTCACAATACAAGAACTCGTGGGCACTCCATACAATTGCTGAGTGGTCGGGTTAGAACGGATAAAAGGAAGTACTTCTTCATCCAAAGAGTGATTAACACTTGGAATTCACTGCTACAGGAAGTGGTGGCGGCTACAAGCATGGACAGCTTCAAGAGGGAATTAGATAAGCATATGGAGCAGAGATCCATGAGTGGCTATTAGCCACAAGGTATAGATAGGGGCTCTGGGGCAAGTGATGCTCTGTCTTCTTCGTGCTTGGGGGGGGGGTCAACAGTGGGAGGGCTTCTAGAGTCCTGGCCCCACTGGTGGACCTCCTGATGGCACCTGGTATTTCTGGCCACTGTGTGACAGTGTTGGACTGGATGGGCCATTGGCCTGATCCAACATTGGCGTCTCTTATGTTCTTATGTTAAATGTTTTAAATTAATCAATAAATAGCTATTTTAAAGTCGGCAACCCTGCTGGTGGGGGCGAGGGGCTCGTAGCGTTGCCAGCTCCACATTTGGGAACTCCTGGAGATTCGGGGGTGGAGCCTGGGGAAGACAGGGACCTCAGTGGGGTACAATTTATTTATTTATTTATTTATTCAATTTATATCTCACCCTCCCTGCAAGAGCAGGCTCAGGCCGGCTTACAGAAGATAAAACATAAACAATTATAACATAGATAAAACCATCTAAAAAACAATCCAATGTCATAAAGTTCTAGCTAGATGTAAACTAAATACTTAGAGATGGCGGCGGCATTCATGTTAATATATTCTTTGTCAGCTTCTTGATCTCTACCATACTCATGCGGCAGGCGCACGCTGTAAACGATGGAGCCAGGGAACAGGCTCTGTCTTTCTCAGTAGTTGTTGTTGGTGATATTAGGGATTATGTTGTTGGTGGCGGCGGAAGCTCCTTAAACCAAAGCCTGGTGGAAGAGCTCCGTCTTGTGGGCCCTGCAGAACTTGTAAAAGGTCCCGCAGGGTCCTGATCTCTTCTGGTTGCT